ATTTTGTTGACTTTTTTCTTTTTTACTAGTTTTGCAAGTTGGAATACACAGTACTCATTATCGATCATTCTTATTTTCTAATATGTGCATTTTAGGTTACAACTTTTCCTGTCACTTTGGATATGTATGAAAGATTTTGAAATGTAAGGCTCTCAATTCAGTTCTAAGTAACTTCCATTTTGTTTCCTATTTGCTTTGTGTTATGCAACTTTTAAATTTTCAACTTTATGCAATTTCATTATTTTTTTATTGAATCCTAGTTGTATTGCATTCAGGGTGAGTGGAAATTGCCTATGGTCTGCCCATATAGTAATGGACTGACAAAATTTTATGCGTGTTTGAAAAAATATGTACTTTCTGGTTTAGAGTACTTAACTCTGTTTTTTTCTAAATCATAAATATCCTTAACTTTCAGTTTCAAGGAAAGAAATGTTGTCTCCTATTAGCATTGTCTACTTGTCAATTTCTCTGTGTCCAATATCACTTTTTGCTTTCTATATTTTGGAGATGTTTGGTACAATTCCCATTGTTTTATCCCAGGATGATCATGCTAAGTTTCCCTTGGCTCCTGCTTCCACTTCTGCCCCTTCAGGTCTTTGACTTCTTGTTTCCATCTTTTTGAATGGTATCATCACATGGCCTACATCTTTCCATTTATATATAGAGATCGAGTTCAATCACTGGTGGCCAATGATTTAATTAACCATCTCTCTCTTTCTCTCTCTGTGCATTCCTCTTTTTCTTTTTTTATGTTTCTTTTTCACAGATTTCTTTAGTTTCTAGTCAATTATAAGTTCTTGTTTTTCAAATAGAACTATTCCTTTTCTTACAAAAAAATAATTTGGGTTAAGAAGAACATACTATAGTATTTACATTTAAACTAAATCCTAAAATTTGAAATCCATACGTCTATGTTTATTTACTTATATAAATAATAAAGGAAGAAAAAATTCTGAAAAGATATTGTTAAATTCAGGTAAATATACACTTTAAACTGAGAGAGAATGACAAACTGCTCTCCAATAAGGCAACGTTCAGACTTCTGCCAAGAGTGTACAATAAGGACCATTTCCATACTTTGCCACCAAGGGTTAATATAAATCTTTAATATTTTCCATTGTGAATGGAAAAAGAAATCACTTTTTTTGCATTTCTTTATTTGTGCATTCAAGTGTAAATTTCAATTCACTTTGATTAGAATTGATATCTGAAATAAATGAATTTGAATACAAAGTGTGGGCTTGTGTTAGCCTTATCTTTCTTTAAAAAAAATGTAATTATAAGATCATAGATTTATGAGTGGGCCGAGAATCAAACCCAAATAATCACATCATTACATTATCTATTACATGAGATAGAAAATAATGCCCATAGAAAGAGTAAATAGACACGGTTACTAGGCTGCTGTAATGTTCCAACTTTTCAGCTACAAAGTAACTTAGCCTTGAAAAATAAAGGCAGATGAATATGTATATTATTTGCACTAGAGTTCCAATTAATTCTGGATACAGCCAACTGGTCAGGCTAAAATATCTGCAGCTCAACTGAAATCCTATTAGAGTGAACTGTTCAAAACTTTAAATAGTTGTTTGTAAAACAATTTAAAGTGGCAGCTTGCTGCCAAGATTTGTTCTAGAGCTCTAGGTAATCTGAATAGAAATGCTTACCACTATGGGCAAATGAACTTGCATACAACTGGAAAGTGAAAAGAGAATTTAAATAAACCTACCAGCACTTAAAATCATGTTGTTTTGAAATGAATGTTTTAAGTGACTCATTCTATATAAAGTCATTTTGACCTCCTTATAAATTAATATGTGTAAATACCTAGAATTGGTATATAAGACTCAGAAGTTGGACTCAGAAGTCAGTTTTTATCTTAGTATTCCTCAAAATTAAGAATACATATACTGCCACTGCTATTTAATGACAGGAACACATTTTGGGAAATGCATCATTAGGCAATTTCATCATCGTGTGAACATCACACAGTGCACTTACACGAACTTAGATAGTATAGACTACTATACACCTAGGCTGTATGGTATACCACCCGCCTACATGTGGTCACTTGTTGACTGAAATGTTGTTATGTGGAACATGACATATATGTTTCTTTGCCTTCAATAAGTCATATAATTATAAAAGCAGAACTAAGTTAAAGCTCAGAGTTGATTTAAGGGAAAATGTTAATACTACAGTCCATTCTAATCAAAGTTTGTGAAATATGCCACATACTTCCTGTCAGTTATTAGGATTATTAGTGAGCAATTGTTTACCACCTCCTTAAAGTATAGGGCTTCTCAACATTTCCCTTCCATTTCATTCATAGAAAATATTTGTTCAGCCAGTTAGGACCAACTGAGCATGCTTACAGCTTGAGATGACCCCATATCCCATTCTCCTATCTCTCCAACACAAACGTTATAGTTGTACCCCATCTCTGTTCTCTGCCATAGAACTGAGAGGTACACTGAAGAATAAAGGAGGGTAAAGTATCCAAGAAATCAAGGTGGAGGGATCACTTTATTTATAGTCACTAAACTGTCTTTTTTTGATGTCAGGACTGTATTACTTTCCTCTTTGTATCCCTTATAGTACCAAATACAGTGTCTTGTATATACGGGCATACCTTGGGAATATTGCGAGTCCCAGACCAATGCAATAAAGTATCACAAAAAAGTGAGTTGCATGAATTTTGGGGTTTCCCAATGTATATTAAAGTTATGTTTATACAATACTGTGGTCTATTAAGTGTGCAAATGCATTATGTCTAAAAAAATGTACCATGCATACCTTAAAAACTTTATTGTGAAAAAATGCTAAACAATGTTTTCATATTGACATATGGAAGACCTTGAATATATTAAAATTTTTTATTTTAGATTCTATAAAAGTTGAAGAATGTTATTTGAAGGTTTTCTTTCACTGATGAATATTCGAGTGATAATTGAGTGCTGCAGCAGTTAGACAAGAATCTGTTCTCATGTTTACTACATTATAGTATAGGTATACAGACAATAAACAAATAAATAAGAAAATATGTGTAGTATTTTCATTATGATAAGACATTATGGGGAAAAAAAGCACAAAAAGAATGGAAATTCTGTGGTTCAGGTTGTTGAAAGCATTTCTATCCTTTTTTTTTAAAACCAGCTAGTATTTTAGTAAGAAAAAGACATTGAAGGTTATGCTTTTAATTGTGACAAATAACTTGAATATCCAAATAATGTAATGTTAGGAAATTCTATATGGCTTAATTTAAAAAACATAAGTTATCTGGCAAGGATACAATTAAAAGCAGTATATAAATAAAGGTGTAACTTTAAAAAGTACAATTTATATGCAAATAACTTTTGGGATAAAAGACTTTTTACTCAAATTAAATAATTTTAGATACAAAGTTTACATTTGGGTAAACATTCCCTATGAAAAAATCTGACTTAAACCTTATTCTTAACTTCGAAGTTTTAAAGATACCACTGATGTCTCCATTTGTATTTATTCACAGTAGAAATAATTGTTCACAAATTATCAACAGGGCAGAAAAATCAGTTTTGTTCGTTTGGGAAGTGAATTCTTTAAAATTTAAGAATTAAATATCTAAAGCAGATTTGGGATTAGAGTTCTTTGTAGTTGTAATTTCTTTTGAATAATTTTTTTAAATGCTATTATCAGTATATTCTATTCATGAATATGAAATTCATGTAATGAAAATAAACATTGGAATCGTTATTATAAAATTGCTTTAAGATGAAACACACTGACTAAAGTCTCAAATCTTTTTAAGATCCTTTTGAAAACTAATTATTTTAAACACATGTAAAAATCACTAGATTAGGAATTATATTTGTTTTCCCCCTTGTCATTTCTAAAGTTATTTATAAAATATAAACTTAAAATATATATTTAAGCTTGCTTGCTCAGGTATGAAACATGTTTCAGTCAAAAACCAAAACAGTTTAGTTACCACTGAAGAAGTGGCTGTATGCCACACTCTAGGCCAGTGGGGAAGATGAGTAGTCTGGGATGGCAGGTCTTCTGCTCACAATTAAATTAAAGCAATGATGTTTTGTCACATATTGAGGTTCTGTGAAAAGATATCTAAAAACGAGGTTTCACAATTTTATAAAAATACTGAAAAAGCACTTATCAAAGGAATCAAAATCTACCAGAAAACCCTCATGAATTTGCTAATGATTTTTCTTTCTCCTTTGAGAACTTGGCTAGGTAGAGCAAACCTGGTACTCCTACATTTCTATTACTCTACAGAGATATTTTTTGTCACATTTTATCTAACTTCAGATCATGCTACTTGATACAAGATTTTTAAACCGTAATTAAAACACTAATTCTAAGCTGGCAAAATGAATAAATATTGATTAAAACAAAAGTTTAAATCAAGTTTTAAATTCAGTTCAAAACAAAATTTTGAGCTCAAAAACAAAATCTTTGTGATTGGGCAATTCTTTTACAACTACACATTCAGGGAAAAGTCTCCAAACGTTTGAGTAAATGGGACATGAGCTGGGCATTGAAAAAAATATTAAATAATTTTCTAGGAAAAAAGAACGAAAATGGGCAAAGTATGAATAAAGGAATGAATTGTTTCCAAGGAATGGCAAACATCTTGATCTGGCTGGGCTATGGGTGAGGGGCAATGACAGGAAATAATATTGTGAATTTAGATTGTGGCCAGAAAATAAGGTTCTTAACACCACAGTAAAGACTTGGGCTTTTTTCAGTTTAAAAAAAAAAAAATTGGAATAATAGCAACAGAGATTTCAAGTATGAGACAGATTTCAGACATATTACAGAAGTTGAAAAGATAGAATTCAACAATGGATTAGAAACTAAGTGGATGAAAGAAAAAAATCAAAGATGATGCTAAAGTGGAGTTGAGGTAAAGACTGTAAGGACTTAGGAGCTTTAAGCTAAAGGACTTTCAGTATCTATACAGATTTGTTTATGTCAAGAGAATTTGAAAAGCATAACCAAGATACTTGACTGATACGATTTTTATTTTTCATGCTAAAATTTTTACAAATTTTATTTTGTCATACACAATTACAAGAGTTAACAGTTACAAGTGGATTAAAAAATAGCATTTTGGGGCACTTCTATTCATTTTACTATCACGTTTTGTTACATGAATAATAACATAACAATAGTTATAATTACAGAACTGCTCAACTTGGATATTTACTAAGTGTGTTATGATGGAGGCTAATACATTACATAAACAAAGAATAAGTGCCCACATAGTCTCATATTTTACATTATTCTCTGTTTCACAATTAAGATCATAGGTTAGAATCTACCCAGTGATGCCATCACTCAAAATTCTGAGCAAGGTGAAGTCAGCAAGCATTTCAAATCATTTTCCAAAATCTTACTTTAGTTCTACAAGGAAATATAAGACAAAACATACAAGACATGGCTTGCTTGATTTTATGCATAAAACAAACCATTACATAATGAAATTATGCACATTTTGCAAGTTGGCATATGTTCCATCTCACACAATAATTAAAAGATGAATAGTACTTACACAGTACTTAGAATATCACCCAACTGCAGCTGATACAGTATCTCCCAGACTTCTAGTTTCTAAAATTCTGGGGGAAGTGGGACAATTTGAACTTTAACAGTCTACATGGTAGTACTATTACCTCTCGGCCATTGGCCCAATACGAATCCTTTTTGGTTTTTAGTATACAAAATATGCTAAAACATTTCTCTTAAACACATTTCATTTAATGTAATGAAACAGAAGGCAATAATTTCCTTCTAGAAGAATTAGATTTAGCTATGAAAAACTTGCCGTATACTTGTTAAATTTATGAAATATTTTTAGGGTCAGTTCAGACCATACTATATTTAATTTAGAGCCTGTGTTAAACATATGTAAAAAGAACTACAAACATAATCAAACATATTAATAGTTAAAAAAAATGGAAATTACCATTTTTATCCCAATAGTAATTTTATAAATATATCACTTGCTTTTATCCAAATAAAGGATAAATTTCAAAAAATCCACTGTGAAATTTACATTCTGACTAAGCACAAAAATACATAAATATTAGTTCTAATCAGAAATTTCAGCTGACAAGTGAAAATTTTTACTTTGAAATAAGCAGGTCTGGGATATAGAAGTGAAAATTTTGATCGAAGCGCATTGTAAATATATTGTTTTCATGTAAAAATAAATTTGTTAAAGAAATAATGTTTAAGTCTTTTTACCCTACCTTCTCAAACACATATTTCTTCCTTAAAATAAAAGTTTAAGATAAACATCTCATTTAAAATACGATTTTACAAAATAAATCAAATGAATTACTCTTAGATGTATTTGAGCCTAGTAGTTGTGGCTTCCAGGTGTTATAAGCTAAAAATCACATTATGGTTAGTAACCTTAATGGCTGACAACCCAATAACTTGAAATTCAATCCATACTGCTAATCAAAGGGTGACATGTATTTATTTGTAAATTTAAGGTTTTTTTTTCAGTTTTTATTGTTGTGGCTGCAGTACATTTAGATATTCAGACTGCCCCAACTGATAAGTTGTGTTCCTTCCACAATCGACATACTGGTACCTCTCCTGGGATATCTGCTCAGAGTGTCCAAAGTATGTGGTTGTTACAGTGACTCTAAAAATAAAATAGGGAGAAACATTGAATAGTTACATATAAGAAACTTTTCTAAAGTGAGAATACTTTTATATATCGAAATTCTCTCCAGAGAGAGATTATTCGATTAATGGTAGCTTCATATTTTGGACAGGGCCTCTTAGGTAATATTTCCTCTACAGACAACAAAAATTATGACTGAGCAAGCCGCAGCCAAATAATTTATACAACAAATGTAATTTTTTTAAAAAACACCTATCTTTGGATAAAATATGTAAGTTCATTATACTATTAAGAATAATCATACAGTTCTCTTATCATAGGAAAAGAGTTAATCAAATGTTAGCTAATAGCCCAAATACCAAACCTGCAATGTTTTAACAGCTTAGGATAACATCTGATTTACAAACAAGTAACATGATCTCACTAATGATCATTTACCACAGACAGGAAGGAACTGGAGGCTGAAGCTCAGCCCTCCTCTCAATCCCAACCCTTGCCATTTTCTTGAGTTCTTACAAGGTCCAGATTCACTGTTTAGCAGCCACGTGATCCTTTATTATTTCCTGAGCTCTCATTTCCTCATTTGTAAAGTGGGATACTTACTGAACTTCGAAGCACTCTTCTAAGGCTTAAAACTCAATTGAGATGGCATTTGTAAAGATGGTATGTATGTTCTAAACCAATATTATAATTCTGAAGTTTGAACAAAGAAATATCTCTTTCAAAAAAAATTCATACTCACTGCATCATGAGTACTATGTTATGCACTTTGATGGATATCAGCGTACAGAAATCACTGTTAAAGAAAAACAATGTGAATAAATGCAACCTATGGGATTACAAACTTAAAAATTTAATTATGATTCTTACTATGGTAAAGCTAATAGAGACTATTAAGATATAATAATAAGTATTTATTGGTTGAGCATTTTCTATACCTCAAATAATGATTAATATTTTCATACTTCTTATTCTAGAAATATATATTCTTTCCTAGTACAGAAGTTGTAGAGTTGTTTTAACATGGACTATAAATTACAACTACTTCCTGTTCACATTTTGAAGTTTTACTAACCAGTTTGTTCTACATCAGGCTGATAGCAAAAGATAGTGAAAATTTACCATTACTTTTTATTTCACAGGAGTTAATAATCATTTAGAACCAATTTAGAACTTCAAACCAATGGAGTATTACACATTATCAATGTTGTTAGTCCTCCTACAATAAAATATCAAAAAATACTAGAATATATGAGAATATGGTTTCTATAACATAATTAACAAAAAGTGATATGGTACATACAATCCTAACTCTGAAAAGTAAAATAATTAAAAACAAATTTTATGTGTATGGTTCATGTACATAAATGTTTAAATATGTTGTAAAGGGAGAAGAGAAATGAGCAGAGGCCAGAAGGAATATTCCAAAATGTGGTCTTCTGACTGCTAAGATTATGGGAGAATAAATATACATATATTCGATTTTCCATACTTTATAATTTGATGAAAAAAATCATTAAAAAATCAGAACTTACAACATATAACTCATTTCCTCTGCTATGATAGTAGGTACAGTGTAATCAATCTGAAAAGCAAAAAATGAAACAAACCAATAGAGAATAGGATCAAAATATCAAGTATTTCATAATTTCAGAGATCAGAAATATCTCCCTTTATGAGTCTGATGCTAAGACTTTCTTTTAGACATGCGTTGGATACATTTCAAAGTCAAGTTTTGAGGAAAATCCCACCTCCCTCAAGCTAATATGATCACAAAGTTAAACTCATTAACTTCTCCAAAGTATTTCATGACTGAAACCTACCTGCTTCATATCCAGTGGGCCAATATTAGTTATGTTGTTTAAGCGTGCCTTTCCAATAACTGTTTTTGCAAACTGAACTTGTGCAGTGATGTTTTCAACTTCAACAGAATAATAGTTATTATTCGTTATATTTAGTGTGTTCTGAAAAAGAAAGGAGGGAGAAAATGTATGCGTCATATGAAAATAAGCACAACAAATATGTAATCGAAATTAATAAAAAAAATGACCAGTTGTGGCCATGCTTCACTTAATAGGAGAAATATTAACAAAAATGTCAAAGAATATTGAATGAACTGATTATTTAGTTTTATGCATGAGTACTATGCATATCATATGTTATACTAAACATACAATTAAAAAAATAGGCTCATAAAATATATGCTGTAAGACTATAGAAAAACGAATGTTAGAAAATGTTATTTGTGGCCTTAGCAAAAATTGAATAAAAATAATTTTAAATTTCATCTCAATTTTTACTAAATGTTTGTTAATATGCAGATGTCTCTACTGACTATATTAGTAAGCTACTCCCTATTCTAATACAAAGTAACCGTATTAGTAAGCTATTTCCTATTCTAATAAACACAAAGCTGGCCACTTAAAATGTTAAACAGTACTTTAAATAAACTTTTTTGTTTAAAATAAATTGGAGAGACAGGAAAAAATAATGGTGTAGATGATAAAGGCTTTGTTCATCTCTCTTGCAACCAAATCAAAGTTGTGACAGAAACACAGAGCAAACAGCAATGAAAGTCGCCTAGGATCTATAGGAAAGTAAGCCCTACAACTAGGGGGAGAAATAATCAACCTGCAATGGTAGAAGGTAGGAGGGGGCGAAGACGCAGGCTGCCTGGTCCTGAGAGACCGAGTTGGACAGAGGCTACGGCAGCAGCAGCAGGTACAAAAGCCTCTTAAAGGGGCCTTGTCCGCATGTGGACTTTCACAGTGACAGGCCTGCTTGCTCTGAGCACCAGCACCCAGTCGGCTGCATGGAGTACACCAGGGACTTACAGAGCGACATTGAGTTGTTGGAGTGAGGGCCGAGGCGAGACGCTCTGTATAGAAGTGCCGGGGGTATCCATTGTTCCTCTGTTGGGCCCTCCCCAACCCCAGTGTGTGGATGCAGCCCAGCCATAGCTGAGACATCATCAAACTGGATAACAGAGGTCATCTACCCAGGAGATTCCCTGAAACTCTGCCTCCCCTAACTCGTGGCCCCAACCAAGCCACATCCAGGTGTGTCCTCAGCGAGTCAGGTGTTCCTTGCTGAGCAGTGCCAAGACTCACACTAGTGGCAGCTGGCCTCGGTTTCTGGTGTGGTTTCTTGAGGCAACTAAAACCATAGCATCTGTGGATTGTTTGCTGAATCTTAACAAGTGGTCCTGGAGGGGCACAGGCTGGGGCTAAACTTGGCCTGCAGCTGAACCCTTCTCAGGACTGTGCCACTGGACACCTACTACACAAAGTTGTGCTAACGTAGAGATGTAGGAGCTTTGCTTAGTACATAGAAAGAGACACAGAAAGGCCGCCAAAATAGGAAGGCAAAGAAGCAGAAACCATGTGAGAGAACAGAACAGAGATCCAAGAATAATGAAGTCCAGTGATCTAACAGATGCAAAGTTCAAAACACTGGTAATAAAGATGCTCAATGAACTTAGGGGAAGGAGTAGATGAACTCAGTAAGAATTTTTTTAACAAAGAGATAAAAACATAAAAATGGCAATTACGAAAGGGAACCAGTCAGAAATAAAGAACACATTATTTGAGATGAAGAGTATATTAGAGGGAATAAACAGAGTGGGTAAAGAAGAGGATCGAACTACCGATATAGAGGATGGGGAAGCCAAGGACACTCAATTAGAATGGCAAGAAAAAAGAAGCTGAGACTATAATAATAATTTAAGGAGCCTATGGGACAAAATTAAATGTAAAAATATCTGTGTCATAGGGGTACCTGAAGGAAAACAAGAAGTTGAAGAGCTATTTGAAGAAATAAAGATGGAAAACTTCCCTCACCTGGTGAAGAAAATAGACATACAAGCAACTAATTGTCTCTTATATTTCAATAAAGTCGAAAGAAAAAAGAAAAAGAAAAAAGAAAAAAAAAGTGTATAAAAGGTTAAGTGAATATGTATGTATACCCATTTACAATGAAAAGAATGGGAATCTTCTATAAAATATACATGTATAATATTTATGCAAAATTTAATTGCTATTTCTATTGTCTCAATAAACATCTATTAGTATGATTTAAAAATTTTTTAAAATAAAAGAAATTGGTATTTTAACTTCTATACAAATAGAGATTTCCACCAGGTCACTAAGGAGAAGAAACGAAGTAAATTCAGTCTGGTTGGTTGGAAAGAAATGCAGGTACATCACGTTTATACTTAGGTAACAGCTGGGGCCAATTTCTGAGATTCTAATTCACAATTGTCTTAAATTGTGTGCTTTAGAAAAGAGCCAAGGAAATATGAAAAAGTGTTAAGAAATAACAGATAATATATAAAACACCTAAAACATTCAGAGCAAAACAAACCATAAACAAAATCAATAGACACTAAATAATAAATCTTGAAGAAATATTTGTAAGACATATAGTAATGGTTACCATCTATTACAAAGAGCCCTTACAAATAGAAAGACAAATTCTTAATAGAAAGAAAAGAGCAAAAGGTATGAGTAAACAAATCAAAAGAGTACAAATATAAATGGCCAAGAAACGTTTAAAATTCTCAAATCCATTTATAACCGGGAAAAGTTGATTTAAGTAAAAATGGAATACTGCTTTATATCCATTAAACTAGTAAAATTGTGGAAAGTGACGAATTCTATTCCTGGCTATAATATGGGTGTATTTTTATATTCCTGGAAAATATGTGAAGCATCACAGCCATTTTGATAAGTAATCTAGAAATAAACATTAAAAAAATTATATATCTTTTTTGACCTAGCAATCCTACTTCTGAGCATTTATTCCACAGAAATAAAAACATTAGGATGTTAATGACAGCATTCTTTACAATGGGAAAAAAAAGTGAATGCCCATCCATAAAAAGAATGATTGAATAATATTAAATCATTACATGGAATATTATGTAGCCACTAATAAGAATGAGTTAACTCTTGGCCAGAAAATTAGGAGAGATTTTTACAAGGAAGGTCTTAACAACTGAGAAAACCAAGATGCATAAAAGATGTAAAAAGTATTGTTTTTCTGAAAATAACTAATGATCTAAGAAAAACTAAACACTTGAGTTTATTGGTTAATAGGAATATGGAGAAAGATATGAAGATAGAAAACAGTCTTACTAAAAAAATAAAAATTGTGCTAGCAATTATATGATCACATTTATGCACTTATTTAAATTATTACAGTTATAAATGTAGAAAAACTTTTTAAAGTTCTATAAAATAGTAGAATTAACCTTTCTTTAAATACATAAACATGTTTTCATCTACTTAGCTCTTAATACCCATGTCACTTTCATTTCTAGACACTTTAGGAAAGGGACTGTTAATCTGAGGTCGATGGACCTTCTTATACAGACTAGGGAATGGGATTCAGGAGAATCCTGGAATCTTTTGTAAATGCAAATAATGTTTGTATGTGTCTTTTTCTGAAGTGTGTATAGTTTTCCCTAGAACATTAAAGGAACCAATGGTGTAAAACAGGATGAGAACAAAAATACTTATGAGAATTAGAAAAAGTTATATTGGAAGATAAAAAGAAAACACACACACACAAATTAAGAAAGAAAAAAGATAGGACCAAAAAGTTCAGTATCAAAGATTAGATTCTTTTTTTTTTTTTTTTTTTGAGAGCAGTTAAGAAGCCATTTAATTTTTAAGTCAAGGGACCACAATCAGAAGCTTTTAAATAATGATTTATTATCAAAGGCCTAAAACTCTCTATGATCTTTAACTAGCAAATTTACTTTCAGAAATTTATCCTAAAGAAGTAACGTGAAATAAAAACAAAGTTTAAGCACAAAGATGTTTTCTGAATACCTAATAGCAAAAGTAAATATTTAAGAGAATGGCTGACTAAAATGTCATACAGCCATGTAAAAGACTACATGCAGCAACATAATATGGGAAAATGTAATAAAATCTGTTAATATGTGCATGTGTATACACTTGCACATGTATGTATCCTTCATACACTTCTGAAAATATCTGATTACACTTGCAAATGTATATATGTATGCAAATGTATATATGCATTGTTAGCAAATATATATTTTAGGTCAAGAGAGTAGTTAAAATCTTTACACATCACAGTACTTTCATATATCTTATAATGATAATTAGGATAATTTCCTAAGTAGAAAGAGAATAAATGGCACTCAAAAAGTTAGTACTAATATATTGATATAGAACCTGCAGAAATCTCAGCCTCTTATCTCATGGTCATCTAGCTGAAGCTAATGTTCATTCTACCTCATATTTAATGTTCAGTCTCTTCTCAATTTAGTTAGGTGCTAGTATGCCAAAATGTGGGAATTCCTGAATAATTATTTAAAATAAAGTAGAATATTGACATTTAAATATACTTTCTAGAATTTAAAAGGGAATGTCTGGAGGTTGGCAAAAAAATCTGGCCATTGTTTTAAACACTGTATGAAAGAGGAAAATATTCTCCTTGTTTAATGGGGATTAAAATGGAGAAACAACCAACAATAATTCCCCAGTCATATGAAATGACTTACAATTAGCATTGTTATGTTTTATGCACGTATATATTTTTTTTCCACATAGTTTTTTTTAAAGCCCTTAGATTGACAATTTTTGACAGGAATGAGGATAAATGGACCCATGGGAGTTCTCTTTTTCCTGTAATTAAGTAGTAATTCCACTTTAACATACCATTCCCTTTCACTCTCTGTCTCCACAAAACTCCCTCCCCCAACCACCACCAGAAACATCTCTACTTTAAGAAATGCTCAACTTTTAGCATATCGATCACTTTTGTAAGGAAAACCAAGTCCAATATCACTCTTCCAAACAAATTACTACCATACAGATATACCTTGAGACCTGAAGCCATAAATGATTGTCAATGGCATGATCAACACATATCTTCCTCTTTAATAATGCAGTGCTTTGCAAATCATTCTTTCTAAAAACAAACATTAACATGTAAAAAAGGTAGATCTTCTCTGAGTTTTTTGTTTTGTTTTGGTGGGGAGTGGGGAAGATGTAGAGTCCTAAAAACTACTGTCCTGGGAAACACAGATGACATTTTACACATACTAATTTACAAAAGAAATCAAACAATCGCTTGCACTTTATCTTTAAACACAATAAAGGAATGATCTATTAAAGATGGCAAAAACTGTATTTTACAAAATGCAAGGGAATGAAAACGTTACATTTGTAACATCTATCAAATCGACTTGCTAGGAGCTATGCTAAGTCAAAAGTTGGCAAGCAAACAGACTATAAATGTTTTTGCCAGCAATTAATTGTTTAGTTCATTTTACCGTCCCAAAGACATCGTCAAATGCTAAATGATTCTGTATACACATTGCCAGTATTTATTATTTGCCGCTTTCAGCAGAACCAGAAATGAGAAGGTTAACAGAGCAGATATACAGAAAGCAAACCAATCAGTGTCACCACTACCGTTCTCTCAACAGGGACAAAGGTGCTGCTAAATACCATAAAGGAATGCAGTAGAGTATTTTTAATAAAACTTTTTACTTACTGTGATATTTAAATATATCATACGTTTTTTGAAATCATAACTGACGTATGCTGATTTTACGCCAATATATTTCACATCGATTGAGCGAGGGAAAAGGAAAAATACAGCCAATCCAGATATCAGCAGACAGACAAACACAGAAGCCATCACATACAGTTTTCTGAAAAGGAAAATGGAGTATTTAAATATATGTACATCAAAAATTACATAATGAAACATTTAGAGGATATTTTCAACTTGAATGTTTCCCCTATAATGCCAGCCGGATAACATCTATCTTACAAGCTTTTTACATCATAAAATAGGGTTGGGTCTGAGTCTATTAAGTGTTAAAATGTCTTTAAAGATGTATTTACATTATTATTACTGGGATTTCAGACTTATTAGAGATAACACATTACTGCAGTGATTCCCAAATTGGGCTGCATGTCAGAATCAAGACAGGGCACTTTAAAAAGATATAGATTTCAAGACTCCCTTCTGAATTCACTAAAGCAGAATTTTCACATGTGAATTTTGCTTTCATGATTCCCATGAACACCCATGATTCCCATGAACTCACCAGAACCCCTTCGGAAGCCCTTAAAAAGATTGTCAGAGCTACACGTCTCATCAACTTCACCTCAAGTTTCCCACCATCCACTGTTGTTATACAAGGTACTAAAAAAGATGGTCACTTTGTATATCCACTTCTGAGACTGTTTCTCTAGTTTCTGAACCTTTTCTCTCCTTTATCCATATTTTTGCACTGTGCAAACTGGATTCTGCCCCCAGCAGGTTTTTCCTTAGGATGTTCCTATCTTTTTGTAAGAATTTTCATTAATTTCTCTAAGGTCTTTGAGGGATTAGGATGGTCCAGTTCCTTCTGATCTTCTCATGACCCTTCATGGTTCTCTGTGGCCTTTTTTGTATTCTCTCCAAGCAATAGTATGTAGAGTCCTCCCTCCCATTTTAACAGGTTATTTTCAGAGGTATTTGCTAGAAGTCCTCTGAGTGGGATCCTCTTCTTTTTTAGGTGAAGTATTTGCTATGGGTATCACGGTCTTAGGACTCTTAGGAACTCTCTTTTGCTTTCTTTTACAACCTCCACACAGCTGCTAAGCATGTTTGGGTCCTTGCTGTCATGGTGTGAATACCAACTTTTATTCTGGGGCAGGTGGGAATACTTTAACACTCATTTTTTAAAAAATAAACATGTTGCCTCTGTGTCTGTTTCCCACTGCTGTTCTAGGTTTAATAAATAGATTTGAGAAGATTCAGATACTATGCAGCTTTCAAGACCAACCCCAACCAGGATTTTATTTTTTGATAACACAAAGCATGAGAACATAATTCAACAACCTGAAAGCATTTTTCCTTTTAATAGTGTTAACTAAAGTAATGATTATACATAATTTGTTAAAGCAAAAAACGCAACCTCTCAAAAAAAACTTCTATTTTCTTATAATCACTTACGTTCTTCTTGGCCTTAATCTCTGATCACTATATGGAATCAATGCCACTAGCTGGTTTTCTTGCCCTAAAAGTGAAAGAAGTAGGTTTAAAATTTTATTAACATAATTAATTAAATATTTAGTGGCTCCTCATCAAAGTCTTGTTTGGAAAGATGAGAATACCACCTGGTTCTCATCTCGTTCCTTTAGTAAACCGCTCTCAAAATCTTCAAAAATTATAAAGTAGAATTTGGGTTCTAGAGCAGATCTTATTTTTTTTTTTTAATACCTAGATGTCTAGCTATTTGAAATAGTATAAAGCATGAGAAAGAATAATTCTTTCAATTAAAAAAAAACAAAACTAAAAAGTTCCAGCTTTCAAAGGACCTGAATTTATCAGGTCTCCCTTCAACCCTATAGTTTTCCATTAAGATTCTGATTTAGCTATCTGGATGAGAGCAAAAGAAACATATTGCTTCCACTGTGTCTTGAAACTCTTGTAACTACAGAGGTTCCTACACCACCCCCTGGAAAATCAAAACTGACGCCAAGTCTCATGCTCCAGGATTCTTTAAGGCTGCACCTCTCTCATCACTTCAAAATCCATCATTTATTTCTTGGGTTGAGCTATATTCATATACTTTAATGGGCAAATAGATCTTTAAATGTCAATTTTCCAATCTTATCAGAACTTGGCTCTTCGTATTAACTATTAAAGCACCATTGTCAAATTCTCTTTTAAAGCCCTCCATAATGCTTCTATTATTTCTTCCGGCCTTCTCCACAACTCTTCCCTCCTTTATACACTACCCCACCACACTCACATATAAATATACATATTACATACACATACACATATATACGCATCCATATATACATCTGTATATTATTTATGTATGTATATATGCACACAAACACACACATCTCATTTTGTTTGGTGGTATTCATGTGGCTAAACTGCAATCCTGGTTAAAACCAACCCTTAAACTACTATGCCTGTATTCACACAGCTAAATGTGGATTCACACAGCTAAATGTGGATAGAGGAAAACATACAACTATGGTCACTAGTCTCACTTTAGATCTCTAATCTCAAGTGGCCCTTAATGATGCCAACAATCATGCTATACTTCCCTAGTTCACTTTCAATTTGACATTCCAAGACTACAATTTCATAACTTCAACTATTTTGAAACCTCTAATACCTTCTTCCCTAGCATCACTCTCAGCTCATGCTGTGGCAAACAGAACTCCTGCAAGCTCCTACAGCCACAACCACCCACCAAGCTACTTCTGGGTCCACACACTCTACGTTGTCTCTTGTCACTAAGAGTAAAGTGCAGGCAAGTGTAGCCCTCTGCACCTGTGCCTAGTAATTAGCATTCACACGTATTATTCACTCCATCTTTGAAAAATCCCCTTCCTGATCTCATAGCCCCCTCCAGCTATGCCACTTCTCTCCTTTTCTATATAGCAAAACTCCTCAAAAAAAAACTATCTTCCTACTATATAATTTCATTCCTCCTATGCTCTCTTGATCCCACTCTATACATGATATGCAGGATTCCAAACCTGTTCTTTTAAAGATCTCCAGTGGCCTCTACATCACCAAATTCAATGGTTTATTCTCAGTCATTAATTGATCTATCCACAGCTTCTAACATAGTCGATCACTCTTTTTTCCTTGGTTTACGTTCTACATTTATTTTCCAGGACACCACAGATACAGAGATTTCCTTTTATTCTAGCTGATTTTTTCAGTGTCTTTGTTAATTCTTTCTCACATAACTGACCTTAAAATACCACAGGGTTCAGTGCTAGGGTCCCCTTTTTTCTATTCACACCAATGAACTTGGTGTTCTCATCCGACTCACCTGAATACGGATGACTGCAGCCTCTTACATCCTTGAATTCCAGGCCCTTATAACTGAACATATCCACTTAGGTATCAAATATACATCTCCAAGTGTACATAACTGAAACAGAGCTCCTGATCTCTCCACTGACATACACACGCAAACCTTTTCTCCGCCCTAATAAACAGCTACCCCATTCTTCCACTTGCTCAGACAAAAACACCTTTGGAGTCATCCTTGATTTCATGCTATCCACAACATACTTCCAGGCTGCTAAAAAAACCCATTGGGCATACTTTGAAAATATATCCAGATAATTTTTCCCTTCTCCCAGCCTGGTATAGTAATACCTTCAACTAAAATAATCCTTTTATCCTCAGTTACTATGTCTGTAAAGGTAAAACCGTCACATTCAAAGGCAAACTCAAATATAAATTTGCCCAACCCAAGGCATTTATCAGAGACTCTGGTACATCTTACAATGTCACTTTATCCTTTCCTTGGGGTCTCTCCAGTCACATATCAACTTCCACCAAGCAGAAAATGAGAACAGCACAAGGTAATGTTATTGTTTTTATTGTTGCCACTGCTACTAAAGTAGCCTACGAATAGCACGTGGGGATTATTCCCTTCTGACTTCCCCTGTGATGTACTACCAACTGATTTTTTTTTCCCCCTATTTGGCTCATCTTCATATACCATCCCTCTTCATGTAGTTCCTCTTGTGCAAATGCCTGGAATCACTATTTAAAGGGAAAACAATGTAATGAACACATACCCCTAGGAATTCTTCCTGTTCCTTGACAAGTGGGGCAAGTGACACTATCTCTTCCTGTAAATTCCACATATGGAAACTGAGAGACATCTCCATTTCTTCCATCTTCATTATGGACTTCATTATTAACCAATCCATTCCTCATATTTTCAGTTGATGCAACTCCACCATAAGCATCTTCTTTATTTGAATGCAAAGGCAAATGAGAAAAAGACTTCCCCATGTCTAAAGAAAAAGAAAAACCTTACAGTAAACTTCAGGAAAAAATGTATACTCAAGGACACTATGAGATATTTATACCAATCTAATTGATTTAGAAAAAAATTCAAAGGAATGTTCAAACTACTTTGGGGATTAGAATTATATTCAAAGTAATGTCTGAAACAAGGGAGTCATTTTTACTAGAGTCCAAAGTTTTTCCTAACAAAATATTATGAAATGATATATCAGACCTCTGGAAAGAATGGACTTTCAAACAACATTAAACTTTAACTGACGTCTACAGTTTCTTAGGGTTCTTTGAAAAGTAACATTAGGCTTCAGTTTTTTAGACTAAAATAAGAACACATTCCACTTTTAAGCCAATTAGCACTAAAGGTAAAAGTTGCTCTGGGCAGATTACCGCTAGGTATGATATGTATCACGGGGCAAGTTCAAAATAGTATTTTTCATCCTTTTAAAATTTAAGCCCCTTTGTGATCAATAAATCCACAATCTTTCTCATCCTCACATTTCTTGCTTTACACATTTAAACACTTGCAACAAAAACAAGTCAAAAGCCAAATTCTACAGATTTTTCTTTCATTTAGCAGATGGCAGGTAAAACTATTAAATTAATATTCCAAAATATTGAATACAATTTATCAATACAAAGTGGTGAAATTTGGAACATTTAACTGCAAAATTTTAGAATGACACTATCAAAATAACATGGGGAAAATTAAATATAAATTTAAAGTATCTAAACGTACTTAGTACTAGTACATACACAAAAATAACCTCTGAAGGTAAGTAACGCAGTAATGTTGCAGTTATGGTAATACCATTATAAGAATGAAAATAACTTAAGTGATATACTCCAATCTGCTGATATCGAGGGAAAATTAACAAAGGGATAAAGCAGAATTTAAAAATAAAATATTTCTTCTTTCTAAATTTCATCATATACCTTTCATCAGTTCCTAAAAATAGATTATAGATCTACATACAGAAAGATAAATGTTTCTTCTAAAAATTCTCGTTGACTTGAATTAAGAAAACTGACATTAAAAGTAATTCAACTTATCTTGTAGTATGAAAAAAAGTTTACTTTTTAAAACTGGAGTTCCATCCATGTGTTGAGGTCATTCAAACAGTGTAATTTGCAGGAAAAAAAATAACTATACAACTAGTAAACAAACTTAAAATTGTAGAATGATAAATAACAATGCTTATTTTCACTATTTAAAAATATCTATGTACATGTTGTCCACATAAATTCAAAAACATAAGTGATTTATAATTTCTACAAATGCATTATCTTTTTTTGATTTATTTCAGTGACATTAAATCCCTGTCAAACCAATATTTGTCAGTCACAGTGGTTCAGGAGTGTATTAACAACACTGTCCCCAAAGTGGAATGCCTTAGGGAGAAACGGCACAGAAGGCAAAACCAGCGGCTCTGTCTGGGCCTCATCTAACATTTGCCTTGATAGCTGGCCTTTGACAGGTGTTTGTTTCATCAAGGCAATGGACAAGTGCCAGACTTTGTCATGCACTGGGCATCCCTGCCCTACTCTACTGGATTTTCCTCAGAGCACTGATAAATTTAACCACTTTTATTCCTGAAGACTGGTTGGTGTATAAAGAGATGCTAGGCCCCTCTTCTCTTCCCGTGCTAAATGTTTTTTTTTATCGCAGTCTTTAAATTTACTGAAAACCAAGACCGATCTCAGACTCTGTGTGTAAAGAAAAATAAATAAATAAAAGTAGAGCACTCCGTCTAAATAGGTCGTCATCTTCTGTGATAACGAAGGAAGACAGTCCCTTTCGTAAGCTAAACAAACAAAACCAAACCCAGCATACGCTAGAAAGGTTAATGGTAAAATCTAGGCAACTGTGCAATCAAACTCAAGAATAGCAAAATCAGGGGCTACCTGACCGCACAAGGTGTTTGGGGGTCTGGAATCTGGAATCAAACCCGTGTGACGGGCTTAAGCGGAAGCTGCGAGCTCTTTGGCAAGAGTCCGGGTCCTGGTAAGAGGTGACATAACACCTCCATCAACACAGCCCTGTGCGCTTCCGCCGCGGCCAGGCAGAACCAGCTCCCCGGCGGCCTCCCCTCCACCATCTCCTCCTCCTGGCCCAGCTCCGGAAGGGGACCTGGGGGCTCGCGTCTGAGATCGCTCACCCGCACGCAGAGCGCTGCGCAGTCCTGAGCTGCTCCAGCGCGGACAGGCCCGAGGACAGGGTCACGGAGTCCACAGACCGGGGTGCCACTGCTGGAGCGACAGGCCTACAGCAGGGTGGCCCCGGAGTCGGGGGGAAGGGCAGCGCAACAACAGTATCAGCTGATGCCTAGCCCCGGTTTAACCTGCGCCTGCGCATGCGCAGAGCGCTCCCATAGATGTGAGGCCTGGGAGACTGCACGACGCATGCGTCCTTCTGCTGCCGTCCTAAAACCCGGAAGCACAGCTGCTGTCTTGTGCTCTCCGCTTTGAGTTATCTTGGTCTCTCCAGACTTAAAGGTAAAAAGTGGCCACCCACGCCCTGGAAAACTTAAAAACAATAGTGTTGCAGGAATCGGCACCCCACGGAGGAACTTGGATGCTCAGACTACTTTGTTAGAGAAAGGAGAATTTATTAGGTCGGCAGAGCGCGTGGGGTTAACAACTCCATGTACGAGCTCCGTCTGGTTAGATTTATGACAATTTATATACTTTTGCAGTGTCCATACAAGGGGCACATGATTCCTTTGAGGTTTTACAAGTGTC